AGAGAGGAAGGAAGAGGGATAGAGAGTTAGAAACATCAATGAGAGAGAAACATCAATCAGCTGCCTCCTGCACACTCCCTACTGGGGATGTGCCTGCAACCAAGGTACATGCCCTTGACCGGAATCGAACCTGGGACCCTTGAGTCCGCAGGCTGACGCGCTATCCACTGAGCCAAACAGGTTAGGGCGAAAAGCCTCCTAATTCAGTTATGCTCAGTAGACAAACACAATACTTGTAACCTCAAAGCAGTTTTAAAATATTAATTAGCATTTTTAAGTTAAAAGTTTAACTTGATTCATCTAATGAAATATTTATTTTTTAAAATATATTTTATTGATTTTTTTACAGAGAGGAAGGGAGAGAGATAGAGAGTTAGAAACATTAATGAGAAGAAACATTGATCAGCTGCTGCCTCCTGCACACTCCCTACTGGGGATGTGTCCGCAACCAAGGTACATGCCCTTGACCAGAATCGAACCTGGGACCCTTCAGTCCACAGGCCGACGCTCTATCCACTGAGCCAAATCGGTTAGGGTGAAATATTTATTTTTTAAAGGCCAATGACCAAGTTGACTTTATGTAATCCAATATCACTGTATTCTTTTCTTCCATAATCATTCATGATCCTATGGCAATTTTGTCTGTTTATAATAATAAATGATTAACTCCTGTTACTGGAAGATTAAACAATACATCTGTAATCTTTTACAAATGTCTTAAACTAGTAAATGCAACTATGTGTCACCTGTATAAAATGTCAACAGTGTAAACTGAACTGATATGAAGTTGTGATACAGTTGTACTTAGCTAGTTCTTTTTTTTTCTTTTTCTTTTTTTTAGCTAGTTTTTAATAATAGGAAAGGAGCAAAGGAAAGGCCAGATATTATAGGCATGTCATTTGGGCAGCTTCACTAGGAAGCTACTTTATACTCCCTAGGGGTCCAACAAAGGGAAGATAGACACATGCCCAGTAAAGGTGCTTGCTGTCAATCACACCTGAGGACAGAGATGGTTGGCCAGAATGGGCGTGGCCACTGCAAGAGTGCAGACACTGGGGATACAGAGCCCCTAATCAAAGAAGTTTGCTCTCCTGCTCTCTTGTGTGCTCTTGGCTCTTTTAGGACTTGAGTGACTCGGAGATTATCGGGCTCTTTTGCTCCTGTGTTCCTGCATTTGCCCACATGGTCCATGGCCATGTGAACCCCACACACAATGGACTAATGGACCGTATCTAGCCCGATGCTGAATGGGACCCAGCTCCAACAAGGAAAGGAAACTCTGGACACTGGCTTTGTTTCTAGTTTTACTAAACCTCAGCAACACTTCTTCTATGCCTGGACTAGGGAAATCGGACTTTGGGAACCATGGTGTAATTCCAGGGAAATAAAGCTTTGTACTATATCTCTGGGACCTCCTGAAATGCTTATTCCAGCGGTACCCCAAGAACCCCACTTCCACCAGCAATGGGGGAAGATGAGACATTTTTTCCCCCAATAACAGTTGTATCATTTCAGCAATTGAAAGAATTTCTGCTTTTTCTGATTGCACAAATGCAATCAAGTAGTCACTGTGGGAAGCAGTGAAGAAGCGGTGGAATGAAAGTGTGTAGGATGGGAAAAGGAAGGGAGATCACTCTGAAAATGAGAAAAAAAATACTTTCTAATTTAACAGAGCATGTATCTTCTTGAGCATTAATGTGAACATGTACGAAACTTCATGCAACAGGTTGTCCTTGGAAGTTCTTCCTTTAACTTCTGGTTCATCTTTTTACATCGCAAAAGGGCTGTTTCCACTGCTGAGCAGTATTTTTTTCAGTTGGGTTTTTGTTTTGTTTTGTTTTATGCTGTCTAATCACCTACTGCCTGACCAATAAGCTGGACAGGTATGACTCGGTTGATCTTTTCATCACTTTGTTCTTTTTTCTCTCTTCATTTTCTTTTTGTTTCTAAAATATTTTTTTTATCAATTTTTATTTTTTTTTAATATTTTAATTCACTTCAGAGAGGAAGGAAGAGAGGGAGAGAGAGAAACATCGATGATGAGAGAGAATCATTGATAGGCTGCTTCCTGCGCATCCCCATCTGGGGGATTGAGCCCGCAAACCTGAAGTATGGTAGCAACCATCAGGTAGAAACTGTAGTTTAACTCTAACCCTGCTGTTTGGCTTAACAATAGAAAAGTTACTTTGATTTTCTGAATTGTATAAATCATCCCATTCGATTGAATGACTATCCCATTGATTGTTATCTTACTGGTTATTGAAGCACATTCTTCTGTACCTGGGAACCAGGACAGCACAATTACCCTAAATTGTTTTAGTGGCCATAGGTGGTGGGTTCCAGCTGACTTAGTGGTCCCGAGACCAGAACAGCACAATTACCCTAAATTGTCCTGACAACTCAGTGGTCAAGAGACCCGAGGGCTCTAGATAATGTATTTCTGTCAATTCAGTGACCCCGAGACCCGAAACTGTAATTAACATGCTTAATTCTGCTTCTGTAATCGGCTTTTTGCGAGCCAGGTGCCTCATTCCAAACCCTGAGATGTAATCAATACCTTTGTGATTTTTTGCCTATATAATCCTAGAACTGTGACCAAATGGCTGCTATGAGATTTGGGAATGGCCCCTCATAGTCCCGGATTACAATAAATGTGACTCTTTAATTCGACTTCTTGAGGCGTCCTTCTGTGATTCGCGGGGTACATTACAACAAACCCAGGCATGTGCCCAGACGGCCAGAGAGGGAATCGAACCTTGACCTCCTGTTTCATAGGTCCACATTCAATCACTGAGCAACACCGGCCAGGATTTATTTTTATGTTTTTTAGAGAGAGGAAGGGAGAGGGAAAAAGAGAAACATGATGTTTCTACTCTCACATCTATCTGCTGCCTCCTGCACGCACCCTGGGTGTGTGTGTGTGTGTGTGTGTGTGTAGGGGTGAGGGGGTCGAAGGGGGGATTGAGCTTGAAATCCTGGCAGGTAATCTGACTGGGAAGTCAACCAGCAACCTTTTGGCGCAGGGGGAGGGCATCCAACTAATGGATCCACACCTGCCAGGGTTAATCGCTTTATTCCTGAAAAGATGTTCTGAACTTCCTTTATAGTGTCAGTAAATTCTGGCAGGTGTATCTATTTTGCTGAAGATTACGGCCTATAATTCTCAAAGATGTTCCAAAGGGTATGACTCCAGAGAATTCAAGGCCCACGGCATTACCATAAGCTCTCTGCAGCCACGTGTACCAGCTCCGCGCTGGCTTCCCGCTGGGCTCAGAGCCTGGCGCGTCCCGGTCTGTCCTCCGCGCAGTCCTCCGAGGCGAAGCTTCCAGCAGGGGTCGCTGCGCCGCCGCCGCGCCCGTGCGTCCTGCCCGGCCAGTTCTCGCCGCGCCTGCGCCGACGGAAGGGGCGGGGCACGGGCAGGGCGGTGCCTGGAGGCCGGAGGTCGGCCCGGCTGCGGGGGGGGCGGGGGGAGCGGCTCTGACGTACAGGTAACTGCGTCCCTGCCGGGTGCGTGGCGCCCCCGGCCCGTGACCCCTCTCTGTTGCTTCACCGCGCGCACCGGTGAACAGGGGCTCGGCGCGCGCCGCCGCCCCGCCCGCGCCGCTGCCGCATCTCCGCGTGAGTCTCCCGCTTCGTGGCCCAGCCCGCCTCGCCTCGGGACGCCCCGGGGGCCCGGGGGCTGAAGGGGCCGTGGGAACCCGGCGGGCCGAGACTGTCCGCCCCCACGCTCGGCACCTACTGCTGTCTCCCGGCGCAGACCGGGAGCTCGCGGCCGCTCGTGTTCCGTTCCCCTTGACCTTGAGGAGCGGGAAGGTGCGCAGCCCGCGGGCGTGGGGAGGGAGCGAGGAGAGCCCGGCCTCGTCCCTGCAGCCAGCCCGGTCTCCTCTGGTCTCCCGGGGAAGGGAGGCTTTCTAATTGCAGTAAACCTGCAGCAGGTGGACCAGGTCCTCCTGATGGAGGAGCGAGCAGGCTCGGGAACTGCACCGACCCCGCAGCTCCAGGACCGCGTGGCCTCTGCAGCCTTCGGTTCGTCCACAGGTTTTATCTCTCTCCGGAAATCTCGCCCGAAACCGCCGCGGGGCTCACTGCCTAGAGCACCCCTGTGCGCAGTCACGGTGTCGCCAAGGAAATCTTTTAAAATACTCTCCTCCCGGGTCGCTTACCTCCTTGGGACCTTTTATGGTTCCCATGCCCTCTGGGTCAAGTCCAAGGAGATCTAAGATACGCGAGGCCTTTGGAGACTAGCTGCTTGCCCCTCCAGCCAGCCGCATCTTCTTTGTGCTCTTTCGGACTCCACTGTTCCAGTCCTGATCTCCCTTCATTCCACAGTCATTAAGCACTTACCACGTGCCGGGTGCTATCCTGGGCGCTTAGGATTCAGCAGAGGAAAGGGTACAGGTGAAGATCCCTGCCCTTTAGTGTTTATCCTAGCAGGGGAGACAGGCAAAAAATAAACATTAAAAAGCCACCAGTAAGTTAGATCATGATGGCAGGTGATCAGTGCTATGGGGGAAGAAACGAGAGCAGAGTCAGGGGACATCGGGAGGGGGAGATGCCTATTAAGTAGAGTCAGAATGAGTGGACCTCATTGAAGTGAAGATGCGTTGTCCGTGCAGACATCTGGGGCAAGAGTGTTCCAGGTGCAGCTGGCACAAAGGACTCTCCCCAGAAATGTGCCTGTTGTGTTTGAGGAGCATCAGGGAGGCCAGTGTGGCCGGAGCTGAGTGAGCAAGGGCCAGAGAGGCAGGACATGAGGTCAGAGAGGAAACGGAGGGGCCAGATCCCAGGAAGCCTTTAGGCCAGTGGTTCTCAACCTTCCGAATGCCGCGACCCTCTAATACAGTTCCTCATGTTGTGGTGACCCCCAACCATAAAATGATTTTCGTTGCTACTTCATAACTGTAATGTTGCTACTGTTATGAATCGTAATGTAAATATCTGATATGCAGGATGTATTTAGGCGACCCCTGTGAAAGGGTCGTTTGACCCCCAAAGGGGTCGCGACCCACAGGTTGAGAACCGCTGCTTTAGGCCATGGTAGGGATTTTGCTTTTCTCGGTGCTTTCGTAGGGTTTTGAGGAAAGTAGTGACATGGTGTAAATTACTTTTTAAAAGAATCACTGACCACTATGGAGAACAGGCTCTCACAGAGCCTTTGTGGGTAACCCTGGTGAGAGAGGAGGTGGCCTGAGTCTGTGGTAGCAGAGGAAATGGTGAGCTATGGAACTTGATGTCCTGACATCATGCATATGGGCCTGAGGGAAAGGGAAGAGTCGAGAATGACCGGAAGCTTTAGTTCTTAGCAACTGGAAGGGTGGAGTTACCACTGACTGAGGTGGGGAAGGCTGCAGATGAAGCAGATTTGGGACTGGGGATGTATCAGGAGTTTGTTTTTGGACCCGTTGTTTCCGGTGCCTGTTACACACTTACACACTGAACTGGAGATGTGGAATAGGCTATTGTGTCAGGGGTCCCCAAGGCCGCCTCCAGGTTCATTGATTCACTGGGAAGACTCAATAGAACTCAGCTGTGGGTCACAGCAAACGCATACAAAGCACAGCCAGCAATGGAGAGGATGCATGAGACAGACTGGAGGAAGCCAGGGTCAGTCTTCCAAGCCAGGAGTCCTCTCCCAGTGCAGTCACACTGGACGTGCGTAATTCTCCCAGCAACACATTGTGACAACATGGGAAATGTCTGTCAGGAAAGCTCATTAGAGAGTCAGGGCCCCAGGTTTTTATTAGGATTTAGGCACCCTCTATCGAGAATGAACCAAAATTCCAGACTCGCAGAAGGAAAGCAGGTATTCAGCATAAATCAAGTAGTTTGTACAGACAGATTAGGCCCAGTGAGCCACTCCTGTCCGTTCTGTGAATGGTGAGAACCCTCCTGAAATCCAAGTTCCCGGACACCAGCCAAGGGCCACCTTGCAGGCGGGCTTTCTAAGGATAGCAGTCTTGGGCCTACTATAGTAACTGTTCTGCACAGACCTACAAGTCTGGAATTTGGAAGAAAGGTCTGGAATAGTGATACAGATATAGGGAGTCATTGGCATTTACTAGTAGGTGGTATTTAAAGCCACGGAGATGCCTGGTGTCTTGATAAACATTTGCCAAAACTGATCGAGCTGGATGATGTGAATGTAGAAGAGAAAAAAATCAAAAGCTGAGCCCTAGCGCCCTCCAACATTAAGATGTCAGGGAGAAGAGAAGGAAGCAGCAAAGAAGTGTCGAAAAGCAGCAGCCGGTGAGGTAGGAGGTCAGCCGAGAATGAGGTGTCCTGAAACCAAGTGGAAAAGAAAAGAGTGATTAGTTGTTTCAAATGCTACTGAGAATGTAGGATAAGACGGGGCAAAAGCTGACCTTTTGGATTTAGAAATGAGAGGCACTGAAGAGAGTATAGACAACCCTTTTGAGGAGTTTTGTTGTAAAGAGGAGCAAGAAGGGCAGCTGGGGGGTAGTGGGGTTAAGAGGTTCGTTGGTTTGTTTTGAATGAGAAATAACAGCATGCTGATGAGAATGGTTCACTAGAAAGTGAAAAATTACTGTTGTAACTTTCTGTTTCCTCAAAGCTCCATTTCCGGCCACTTTTGCCATCAGAACTCTCCTCAGGCATCCCTGCTCTGGCTCCAACCTGTGCAAGAACAGCCTCCTCGACCTCAGCTTTCACTTAATGTTCTCTGACACCCACATTCCACTTCAGTGGCAGCTTCTTGACAGGACTGTGTTTTATGTAGCCCTCGCTGGCCACTTGGCATATGAGTGGATGTAGTAATAGGTAGGATGCTCATTTCATTTCTCGAAAGTGAATCTTCAAGTAGTCACTGGTTTTTGTGTGTGCTGAGCAGATTGGGGATGGAGTGAGGAATGGGGTACAGTTCCTGCCCTGTCACTGCCCTTAGGAGATAAGAATAGTACAAAAGACATACAGCATTGGTGCAGCGTGAGTTTGGAAAAGGGCACGGTGAGTGGGGGCAGGGGAGGGTGGAGGAGAGGCCTGGATTTTGTGTGGAGCCTGGAAGAGAAGAGGCCATGGTAAAAGGATAGAAACTTTTTTTCAGTAGTAGAATCCTTATTTTCAATGAAATACAACGAACCCCAGTATTCACCAGCACTGCTTGCTGTTCTGGTTGAAGAGGGGCTGGGCCTGCTTCGTTAGCCCTCTCCTCTGGCACTCCCACGTCTCTGACTAGTTTCAAAACTCTGAGGTAGAATCCGGGTTTCTTTCTTAACAACAACAACAACAAATGTTTTTATTGATATTTTTAGAGAGAGAGGAGGAAGGGAGAGGGATAGAGAGATAGAAACCACATCGATCGGCTGCCTCCTGCATGCCCTGCACCAGGGATCAAGCCCGCAACCTGGGCAGGTGCCCCGACAGGGTCAACGTTCAACTGCTGCAAATCTGAGTTTCAAAGCTCTGGGCAGAATCAGAGGTAATGCTTGGCTTGCCATTTTGGTTATGTTTATTGTAATTACATGAGTATGATTTTAAAGTTATTTTGTGCTAGTAAAAGTTTCCAAGTGTAGGTAACTATTAACTGTGTGATGTGTGCAGAGAGCACCATCATATCTGGCATTCCTCACAGACAACAGTGTGGTATAACGGCAGGACTCTGGGATGGGGTATGTGTGAGTCCAGGGACTGACACAGAGAGGGCTTCCCTCCCCAGGTATGTCTCCTCTTAGGATTTCATCTACACGAGGACGACACTTCCACTCCACTATTCCTGAAACTTTTCATTCTCTCTAGTATTACAGTCGGTGAAGGTTAGCTTTTGTCCAAAGAAAATGAGAAATGTCATGGTGTAGCACAGTGGTTCCCAACGTGGGGCACATGCCCCACAGGGGGGCAATTTGGTTTTTAAGGGGGGTAATTCAAGAATGAGTTATTAACTGAATTTTTTGCATTTCTTATAATTCTAGGGGCCTTATATACAGTATATAAATATATATTGTGATATACTTATGCATTTCAGTTCTCATATGTTTTGAAACTTTATTTGCTATTTTTTCATATCACTTCATATTATTATTTTTTAAAACAATTTCTTAGTGACTTCTTCCTCAGTATTTCAACTGGCCTTTTGTTCTTTTATTTTTCTCTTTTATGGATGCCATGTTCTTTGGAAGCTTGTTAGACCAAGTTAATGGCCGTTTAGACTTCCTCCACGTGAATAGGAGTTCACTTTTTGAATAACAAGAATTATATGGCACGGGGTCGGGGGGAAGTATCAGAATTTTAGAGATGCTTAGGTGGGGCATGGCCAAAAAAAGGTTGGGAACCACTGGTGTAGCAGAAAGAGCACTGGATTTGGAGTCAGAAGATTGGTGGGCGATTCAGCATGGTAGCGAAGAGCCTGAATTAGGAGCCAGGGAGGCTGGCTTTGAGTCCACTTAGTGTCTGTGTGACCATGTAACTCAGATGGGCTTGTTGGAAGGAATAAATGAGTTCATTATGTAGAGCAATGCCTGACCCATAGTAATTAGTGAGTGTTAAGACTTGTCATTGAAATCCTGGCTATATCACTTACTAGCGGTATGACTTAGCAACGTGTTAAATTGGTCCAGTTTTCATTTGTATTCTTTTGTAAAATGAGGAGCTTGCACAGAGTTATCCCTGAGAGGCTGCCTTTGCTGTCTCTGCAGACAGGAACAGCTCTGGGAGTGTTGTTAATTGGGATGGAACATGAAGCCAGGCCTGAGCTCCAAGGCATACATATGGCCTTTGGCATTATACCTGATAGCAAAAAAATAATTTGCTGAAGTCACTTAGACCAGTGTTTTCAAACTTTTTGTTTATTGTAATCCACAGTAAATGCATTTTACATGATGACCCTGTGTGTGTGTGTGTGTGTGTGTGTGTACATACATATATGCATATGTGAGTAAATGTAACAAAAGTTTCATGAAGCACTATTAGCAGCATTTACTCTTGCTATATGTGATGCACTGTAATATTCTCTATACCCTTCAGTTGTAGCTCTTAAAAAGTAGACATTTTCATAATGGTTCATGACCCACGGTTTAAAAAACACTCACTTAAAGATGGGCAAATCATTATTATTATTTTTTAAAATATATTTTTTAATTGATTTTTTACAGAGAGGAAGGGAGAGGGATAGAGAGTTGGAAACATCGATGAGAGAGAAACATCGATCAGCTGCCTCCTGCACACCCCCTACTGGGAATGTGCCCACAACCAAGGTACATGCCCTTGACCGGAATCGAACGTGGGACCCTTCAGTCCGCAGGCCGATGCTCTATCCACTGAGCCAAACCAGTCAGGGCCAAATCATTATTATTAATGTCAGTCTTCATCTTTTCCATTACATGAGCATCTTATAAACCAGTCTAGTCTAGGCCCAACAGCAGGGGGTGATTTCAACCAAGACTGTCTTAGCCCATAACTTAGACATCACCTGGATAAATTCTAATGAGTGTAGAACTTAAGCCCAACACAGAATTCCTGAGGCTGATGATGGAGAGCTCTGGCCACTTATGGTTAACCTTCCTGTGTGTTTTGGCTGAGTGGTTAGGTATGAGAGGACCTGCTAGTAAGGGAATTATTTTTCTTAAAATTTTACACTGTGAAGAATATATACCAAAAATGTGAACAGTAGTATCATAGAGGAGATGATTGTTAATTTGACTTTTTTAAAAAAATTTTCAAAATTTCTTTTTTTTTTCAAATTTTATTTATTTATTTATTTTTAGAATGAGAGGAAGGGAGAAAGAAAGGAGGAGAGAGGGAGAGAGAAACATCAACCTGTTATTCCATTCATTTATGCATTCATTGTTTGCCTCTTGTATGGGCCCTGAAAGGGGATTGAACCCGAAACCTTGGCGTATCGGTATAATGCTCCAATCAACTGAGCTACCCAGCCAGGGTTCAGATTTTCTGCCATGAAAATATATTTCATATATAATCATTGAAATCTCTTTTAAAAATTACATTACTACTAAAAATTCCTTCTTGGCAAAATAAAGGGTAAAAAATACTTTACTTGGTAAAATAAAAAGTAGTTCAGCATTAGGTAACTTTAAAAAAAATTAATTGTAGTGGGCCATAAACTATTTTCTTTATCACTGCTGATATAAAATTTAAAGTTCTTTCTATGAATGATTATTATCTGTTCCGTATTAGATTAGATAGACCATGTGTATAAATATCAGTATTTCTCTTTAAGGTGCTTCAAGTTTACACCTTAGTCATTGTCTAGTTTCTAGTCAGTATTTTAGATGCTAGGGATTTCGTAGCATTTAAAAATCATTTCAAATTATAGTTGTGTTGAAAAACAGCCCTCAAATTGAGCCTGCTTTATTTCTCATTTACAGCTCACATTGGGGTCCCAAGAGCACTAAAATATAGAGTTGAGCTTCTGTAGTCTGCCTCATTCATACCAACAAAAATAAGGCCCAAAATGTTAACAAATATAATTTAGAAGTAGCTAGCTATGAGCTGTTGAGTGAGCTTACAGGTAATTGCTGTTGTCAGCTTTGTGATGAATGGAGAGTAAGAAGGAGAAGTCGTGCGAATCATTACCAAATCAGTCTGAAAGGATATAGCCTTGGCGCAAAGTCACTTGCAGACTTGAAGTACGCGGGTACTGACCACATGGCAACCCTTCTCGCATTACTATTCATGGTGTTAAAACCATCTTGATGGACATGGGAACAGTCTGCCACCATCATAATAATATAGTTTCTACGGCCTTTGAGGTACTGTAGGAATTGGTTGCTCTCTGGCATGTCAGCACCTCCGTGCCTCAGGAAACAATTACCTGGCTTGTGGTCTCCAAGCCTCTTTTTTCTTTGCTAGCTAATGCCTCTGCAAACAGTGGGAAGATGTCAAAGGTAAAAGGTGGTAAAATGCACACCTGTCCAGTTGGTTCATTCCTAGCTCTGCTTTGCTGGGGTTGGAGGCTGAAATAAAGTTTAGAGATTCACTCTGGGTTTTAGGAAGTCATGATCTGTGTCCTTCCTTGGCAAAGTCAATAGTGTAAGGATGTACTGTATGTCAGTAAATAGTCTTTCTCTCCATGAGATTTTTCTTTAAAAAAAAAATTGAGAACTATTGTTAATATTTTTCAGTAGCAATCAGTACCAAGCTAATTCAGGGGTTGGAAAGAGTAGAACCAGTGTTTTCACAGATATTAGTATCTAGTATGACCCTTATGGGCACCCTATAAGGCAGTGATAGCGAACCTTCTGAGCTCGGCGTGTCAGCATTTTGAAAAACCCTAACTTAACTCTGGTGCCGTGTCACATATAGAAATTTTTTTATATTTGCAACCATAGTAAAACCAAGACTTATATTTTTGATATTTATTTTATATATTTAAATGCCATTTAACAAAGAAAAATCAACCAAAAAAATGAGTTGCGTGTCACCTCTGACACACGTGTCATAGGTTCGCCATCACTGCTATAAGGTAAGCACATTAATTGCAGCTTGAAGACTCACCATGGTACACTGCATGGCCCTTCGTACATGCAAACCGATACGGCCTTTTGTAGGGAGCTTCAGTACAGTAGAGGTATAAAGCGTTCGTGGTGTGTGTGTGGTTTGTGTTGTAAGAATGCCAGGACACTGCACTTGTGAAGTAAAACTGAGTCATTGTCTGTTGCAGGTTATATGCACCATGGCTATGACTAGTGTCAGATTGCCCCCCAGTATTTTAAGGAAGCCAGATGCCTGGATTGGACTCTGGGGAGCGCTACGAGGGACACCTTCACACAAACTCTGTGCTTCCTGGAATCGGTACTTCTATTTTTCTAGTACCAAATTAAATGCACCAAGTTATAAAACACTTTTCCATAACATTTTCTCACTGAGACTCCCAGGACTTTTAATAGCTCCAGAATATATTTTCCCGTTTTCTATAAGACTCAAAAGTAATATAAGCTCTAAAAAATCCACTAAAAAGACTCTGCAGAAAGTTGAAGCTGAAGAGGACTCCGATGAAGAGAGTGATCATGAAGTGAGTGAGCAAGAAGAGGAGCTGGAGGATGACCCCAGTGTGGTCAAAGACTATAAAGACCTGGAGAAAGTAGTGCAGTCTTTTCGGTATGATGTTATCCTGAAGACAGGCCTAGATATTGGCAGAAAGTAAGTACGATGTGCATTTGATTACAAAATCTCTTGTCTTCTTGTTGGTTATTTTAACGTAGCATTATCAGCATTGTGGTGAAGAGTAACCATAAATATGAAAAGACCTTAGAGGAAACCTCTTTCATTTCTATAGACAAAAATATTGATTCCCAAAGAAGTCAAGTGACTGCAAATCCCACTTGCCATATTTCCCTGTTTCTAAATCTCCCAGAAGATTGTAAGATGAACCATTAATTTAATAACATCTTTGAGGAGAAAAGGAATCACTGTGTTAGATGTATATTGCAAAAAAAAGATGTATATTGTAAGCATAAATGCATGTGGGTTTTACAAATACTGCAGCGTGAAAAAATGCCTCTTAGAATCAGCGAAAGCAGTATAACATGATGGTTAAGAATGCAGGCTCTGGCCCGGCTGGCGTGGCTCAGTGGTTGAGTCTTGACCTATGAGCCAGGAGGTCACGGTTCGATTCCTGGTCAGGGCACATGCCTGGATTTCAGGCTCGATCCCCAGTGTAGGGCGTGTAGGAGGCAGCCGATCAATGATTCTCTCTTATCATTGATGTTTCTATCTCTCTCTCCCTCTCCCTTCCTCTCTGAAATTAATAAAAATATATTTAAGAAAAAAAAAATGCAGGCTTTGGCCCTGGCCAGTTTTCTCAGTGGTTAGAGCATTGGCCTGTGGACTGACTGAAGCATCTCAGGTTTGATTCCCAGTCAAAGGCACATACCTCGGTTGCAGGTTCCCCAGCCCCATTAGGGGCGAGTACGGGAGGCATTCAATTGATGTGTGTCACATTGTGTTTCTCTCCTTCCCCTCCTTCCCTTTCACTCTCTAAAAATCAGTGGAAAAAATATCCTCGGGTGAGGATTAAAAAAGAAAGAAAAGAATGCAGGCTCTGCAGCCAGACCACTAATGTCTGAATCCTGATTCTGTGTATGACCTTGGGCATAAATTCTCTGTGCTTCAGTTTCCTTATCTGTAAAATGAAGATAATAGAACCTGCTCTAGAAGATAGTGGTAGGGTTAAATGAGTATTTCTCTATGTATCTAAAGCACTTATAGCAGTGCCTGGCACATAGTAGGCACTCAATATGTTACCCGTGATGACGAAAATACTGTGTGTGTTCATATATAGTGCACAGAGATAGTAAGTATAACTTTCAAGATTTCTTTAATCTCATTCTCTCTTAGACTATAATTATATAAGAATAGTGACCCTCATTATTCATTCATTCCTGTAGTAATCATTGTGTGCACATTGCACTCAAGGTAAGAATTGCGGTATGAATGATAAATTCAGAAAGATTTCCTTATGTAATTTGTACTTTTATGACCTAACTTAATGGCATAGTTTAGTTTTTTTCAATCTATGGAGCATAAGGACTCATAAAGGTGACTCAGCCCATAGGCAACCTGATTAGGATTTGTTGAATGTTCTCCAAAATCTGACAAACTCATAAGGGGTCCTCTCCTCTCCCAGGGTAGTAGCTGCTGCTGCTGTAATTAAGCAGAACCCCAGATGTCAGTCACTTGGAATCAGAGCTTCAGGAAGAAAGGGCATTGATTTTTGTCTGCATCCTTCCCTGGTCTAGTTGCCCCAGTGATTAAATTCAGACAGATCAGCAGCTGCTGGATTGGAGTTTCCCCAATCTCAGTGCAGACCAGTGAGGGTTTCTTAATGGCCTCAGCATACGTGTGGTGCCTGGTTTTTCAGTCAGGGCACAGAGCAGGTATGTGAGGGGGAGCGAGTGCTCATTACTTTGTTGAGAATCACAGGCGCTGCCACCTTGAAGGGAGTTGCTGCACAGGGAGTCAGGTGGAGAACCTGGGCCCCCTTCCGAGAGGGCTGGAGCAGGTGCCGAGCCCTCTTGGAAAGCCCCATCAAGGTACTGGTTACCTGCCTGATGGTACTAGCAACTCTTTGCAGCAGGTCAGCGTCTACTTAGAAGTACCCTTTGGTCTCCCTGTTTTAGATACATAGGGAGCAGTTGCCTTTCACGTTCCCAGCACCCAGGCTGAAGATTTTGTGGGGAGGTACGCGTCACTGTCAGAATAAGCATTAATGGCAGGTGTGTTTCTCAGACTTGTGTAATGGTTCTGAATATATTTCTATTTTAAAGCACTTTGACTTTTTTTTTTAAGCAAAGTGGAAGATGCATTCTACAAAGGTGAACTCAGGCTGAACGGGGAAAAATTGTGGAAGAAAAGCAGAACGGTGAGATAATAAGACAGCCAGATGTTTTTGTCTGTTGCTTTGCAAGTACTAAGTTAATGCCCCTACCTTCCCCTCGGGCTCCTTACTTGGGGCATCCTTGTGTCTGTCTTACCATTTCTCAGGTCTCCCCAGTCCTGGTCACGCTAGTGAAAATGAATCACCAGCTGGCTTCAGTCACACAGATCACTTGCTCTTTTGCAGCCATAATGACTTTGAGGTGAAGCTTCCCCTTCCCCCCCCCCTTTTTTTTTTAAAATATATTTTATTGATTTTTTACAGAGAGGAAGGGAGAGAGATAGAGAGTCAGAAACATCGATGAGAGAGAAACATCGATCAGCCGCCTCCCGCACATCTCCCACTGGGGATGTGCCGGCAACCCAGGTACATGCCCTTGACCGGAATCGAACCTGGGACCCCTCAGTCCGCAGGCTGACGCTCTATCCACTGAGCCAAACCGGCTTCGGCTCCCCCCCCTTTTTTTTTTTAAATTTCAAGATGACAATCAGATTTTTGCCAGATGACTAGCAAAAATCTACAATTTAAACTTCTCAGTCATAATAACCTGGCTAAAAAGAAATATTTGATCTATGGAGAGGTTTTTTTGGCCCGCTGTTACCTGAGCAGATGTGTAATTCTGTGCGGGCGGAGGACACCCCTCCCCCCAGCACCTGCTGGGTACCCTGCTCTGTGCAGGCAGGAGGGGTCATGTTCTCTTGACAGCTCCACATCAACACTACTGTAAGCAAAAGAAGTCACTTAGAACATTTATTTCCAGTATCCAGTGTTACAGTAAATCATATTTGTTAATTCTGTTAAATATATGTATTTTTGTAAAAGTAAATTACATAAATATATGCATCTAGAATTAAATTATTAATATTACTAGTATTCTTTGGGTGGGACATTATGGGTTATATTTTCTTCATGCTTCTTATTTCCTGGATTTCTTACAAATATGTGTCCCTTTCATAATTGGAAAATAAAATAATGAAGGTAAAAGTTAACAAAACAAAAATATGAATGACAAAGACCCTTAAAAAGTTAGGAAGACAGACCTCTGAGGCATTGGCAGACATAATCTACCTCCTAGTATCCAGGGAACCAGTGTTCCGGGCAAGTTAGACACACTTTTGGACGTTGTTTTTATTTTAGCTTCTCTCATATTTCAAAACATCCCAGAGGTTGGAGGCCCTAAGCTGTCTCCTGTTGCCCTGGGACCTGGGAGGGTGTGAGCCGATGGCCATGGACCTGGGTGAGTGCTGCGGCTTTCTTCAGAGTCCTTTCAGGATCAGCATGGACAGGATAAGGGGACTCCTCAGCACTGGGTCAGCCGCCAAGTCACAAGGCCCACTCTCCCTCTGATGGCACCTGACTAGCTGACTGGGTGTCAGTCATTGCTCTGTGAGCCACAGGAAATCAGGCACTACGGCCACGCTTCTGGAAACGGGGGCCTTCTCCACCCTTATTGCTTTTTCGGGGTTGTAGTCCAGCCCCTCTCACCAGCTGCAATGTTCCAAAGGCAAGACCCCTTGGTGCACGGTGCGCCTGTGCTGGGGTCTCATTTACAAACGCCACAGGCCTATTCTCCCTCTGCTACCAGATATTGTTAACTACAGCCTAATTGCTGCTGCTTTATTCTGCCTTGGGTGTTCTGTTATCTCGGCTGCCTTCCAGATTTCTCCTGAGGGTCAGCAAAGGAAGGGGCTAGTATTAACATTCTGCTGCCTGTTACTAGGAGACCTGGTAGCCATAGTAACTGCAGCTAAGGGGAGATTTGAAATGTAGATATTTGGAACTGTCCCTAATCCCAGTTTGCTTTGTGTCTGCTGTGCCGTCTCCCACGTTAGGAAGGACAGGGCCTTGCAAGGAATAAAGAACACCTCCGGTGCATGGCCCGCTCCGTGGGGCCCGTGCCTGGCTGCTGGCCTGAAGGGTCAGGCGCTTGCCTGATGCTGCAGCTGTAACCCTGGCTGCCTGCAGCTGGGCAGAGCTGTTCTGTGAGCTGCAAACCAGTTGGGACCCAGAGTGCTGTAGGTGCTGGGTAACTGGTGATTCAGACAGGAGAGTGCGGTGAATCCAGGTGTGGGGATTGCAGCCTTCCTGAATTCTCTTTCTGGGATGGGGGGGGGGGGGGGAGAGAACGGTTCCTTCCCGCTTTTCAGGTACATGTGAGCCTGCCCTTCCCTTACAGTATGTCTATGAGAAGGTACACAAGAAGGCATGCCCTTCCCCTATGTCCTTTTAAATTTCATGTCATGTGCATACATTACTTAATTAAAATGAGTTTTAATGAAACACATCCCCAAGCCTTGTATTTTTGGACATTAATTTTAAGTGTCCACACAGTTGGAGCTGTGTGGTTATAATTATTTAACTGAACCCAGCAGAACTACAGGAGGATCCCCCCACCCCAGGTGGTTCCTAGGTCAGTCCATCCTTCAAACCTAGGGGAGAAGCAGTCTTCATGCCTGGCTGTGGTGTGAGCCTTTCTGGTTCTCAGCCCAAAGGGGAGAGAGTTAATGGTCTAAAACAGGCCCCTGTGTGGGTTTTTCACCCGCCTGCTCTGGGCTGTCTGGATTGACCAGTGTGGCATGGTGAGCAGGTGTGCAGTCCCATGTTGTAGACTGAGTATTGTGCCTACAAAAACCTTGTGTGGGTGGGAGAACAGATGTTCCGAAAGCATGAAATTATGACTGCCTCAGAGAGCAGTCATTGGAAAATAAAGTAAAAGTCGGCATCTGGCACCATGCCTCTTAACCAGAAGCCTTCTAGTGGGATTTTAAGTGATCATGTGTGTCCACTTCAAGTCCATGGCCCACACATGGGTCCCCCTTCCCCTTGGAAGAAGGTGAGCAGTAGCAGTCTGAGATGGCCCTGGTCATCCCTGCTTGTGTTCTAGTGGAAGAAGCACATGGCATGTGGGGCAGTTTAGCCCCTTCCTTGGTTGCTGGGCAGATCCCCTGGGATCCGGCATTGCTACGACCAGGGGTCCATCCTGGGCTCTCAGCACCCTGGCAACAATGACTGAATGCCCTAGGCATGCCCTGTACTAGCTCAACCCAAAGCTCCATCTGGGCAGGCATGGGTTTGACCTCAGCCCTTTGAACCTACTGAATCAGCATCCAGCTTGACCCTCTTTTCTGTGGCATTCATCTTTGTGAGTCCTGTCTTTCTCTCTCTTTTTTTAAGTATAGTTGGTATATAATATTATATTAATTATATTAGTTTTAGGTGTACAATGTAGTGATTTGACATCTTTATACCTTAAAGTGTGATCACTTTATTAATTTTAGTAATCACCTATCACCATGCCAGTTTATCACAATATTATTAACCGTATTCCCCTTCACCTTTTTCACCCGTCCACTTCCCCTGCACTTCCCCCCTCCCTCCGCCCCCCACCTTCTGGTAACTATCCCTTTGGTCTGTTTCTTGTTTCTCTTGATGATGTGGCATCACTGGGGCCAGTCAGTGCGAGAAAAGCAGATACAGTGGGGCCTTGACTTACGAGTTTAATTCGTTCCGAGACCGAGCTCGTTAACTCAAATTACTCTATCAACTCAATGCAAAAAATCGGCGGAGAGACAGCTGGTATCTCAAAAAACTCGTTAGTGGGGACACTCGTAAGTCAAGGCCCCACTGTACAGCTTTTTCCATTTCTCCAAGAGGTACAGCTGAGCACTGTTCCATAGTGACTTCCAGCAAACTGCCTAGAGCAGTGGTTCTCAACCTTGGCTGCACATTAGAATCACCTGGGAATCTTTTTAAAATCCTGATTTCTGGGCCTCATCCTCCGGAAATTCTGTTTCTTTGTTATGGGGTGGGGCCACAACATTAGTAACAAAGAAACAGAATTTCCGGAGATGAGGTCCAGAAGTCAGGATTTTAAAAAGATCCCCAGGTGATTCTAATGTGCAGCCAAGGTTGAGAACCACTGGTCTAGAGTATGATCATGTAGCGCATCTGGATTAAAATCAGTGAAAAGTGTTACACTGGAAATAGTCTTCTCAGTGCATGTAGTAATTACTATGCACACAATCTCAGACTGTGGCCCTGACTGGTTTGGCTCAGTGGATAGAGCGTCGGCCTGCGGACTTAAGGGTCCCAGGTTCGATTCCGGTCAAGGGCATGTACCTTGGTTGCGGGCACATCCCCAGTAGGGGGTGTGCAGGAGGCAGCTGATCGATGTTTCTCTCTCATCGATGTTTCTAACTCTCTATCCCTCTCCCTTCCTCTCTGTAAAAAATCAATAAAATATATTTTTAAAAAAATCTCTAAGACTGTGCCCCGCTTTTTGTCTTTTGCCATTGTTATCAAAATAAGTGCCTCCATGCAGATGTGTCTTTAAATCATCCAATAGAGGTGTTTGAGTCACACCACACAGGAACTGCCACAAGCTGCCAGTTGTCTAGGTCTGAAGGCAGGACACTGACTGGTATTGAGGTGGCCGTGTTGGAGGCAGGCAGCTGAGTGTTTCCCTAGGAACCAAGTGACTGTTACAGAGGAGTCAGGACCTTTTCTCACCTGCCCCTGGGTGATGATCACCTGGTGAAAACTGAAAGCAGAGATGTTTGCATTGGCCTGCATTTCCCAAGATGTAATAAAGGTTCTGTTGTCTCTTAAATTTCAGGTGAAAGTGGGAGATACGTTGGATGTTCTAATTGGAGAAGATAAGGAAACAGAAACAGAGGTAGTGATGCGGATTCTCCTGAAAAAAGTGTTTGAAGAGAAGACTGAAAGTGAAAAATACAGAGTGGTCTTACGACGGTGGAAAAAGTTAAAATTGCCTAAAAAGAGTGTGACGAAATAAATGGATTGCTTTTTAACAATAAAGTGTTTTCTACTGGTGGGGGAAGGAGCTAGCTCAAAAAGCAGGCATTTTTATTAAAATAAAGTTCTCACCATTTGTGGAATCTGCTGAACCATGTTGGAGCAATCAGGATCCATATCTTGGAGTCTACCCCAGCCTGGATTTCTGTCCTGGGCTTGATTTGTGCTTAATTTGACTCGGGAGCATGAGTGAAATGCATGCAGGAGGAGCTAAGCCCAGAGAGGTTTTAATGACTAGCCTGCCGTTTCCCATGTTCACTGCCTGGGAGGCAGGGTAACATAAACTGGCTTTGTTAGTGTTTTTATTTCAATTTTAACCCTGATGGCCAGCTTCCCTGAGTCCAGGCTTCTGAAGGCAAAGCCAGGCCCAGTGAAGGTCACCCTTCATAGCCTTAGGGGAGCATTGGGAGACCTCATTCTCCTCGGGCCTTTTTGAATTACCAACATGTTGGCTTTAGTTCCCCCTTCAGTTTATCTTCAGAAGTCTGGATGAGTAAAATTCCAATAAATTCCAAATAGGCTAGTTAGGGCCCATTTAAAATTAATTGTTTAGGGCAGGGGTTAATAAACTAAGGCAGCCAGAGGCCTTTTGCCTGGCAGTCAATGTTTATACATTTTTAAAGGGTTGTTTAAAAAATACAAAGGATGCCCTAGCCATTTTGGCTCACTCGGCCTGAGAACTGAAGGGTCCCAGGTTCAATTCCAGTGAATGGCATATACCTCGGTTGCATACTGGATCCCCAGCCCTGGTTGGGGTGCCTACATGCAGGAGGTAACCAATCCATGTATTTCTCTCACATTGATGTTTCTCTGTCTCCCTCGCTTTCTCTTTCCACTCTCTAAAAAAAAAAGTCAATGGAGAGGATTAATAAAATATAAAGTGAAAAATTTCTTTAAAGACAAAACAAAGGGATATATGACAGAGACCTTATGTGGTCCACAAAGCCTAAAATATTTGCTATCTGACCCATTAGAGAAAAAATGTAGTGACCCCAGGTGGAGGGCAGGCAATAAGCTGAGAGTTTAATTTTCAGGTGAAAGTAGAAAATACACAGATTTTATCAATGAAGAGAATAAAGAATCAGACTGTTCTAATTCTCGAGTGTTATAAAAGGGACAAACATAAAGTAGTAGTAGAAGGGACACACATCATCTAAGGCAGCGGTTCTCAACCTGTGGGTCGTGACCCCTTTGGCCGTCGAACAACCCTTTCACAGGGGTCCCTAAGACCATCCTGCATATCAGATATTTACATTACGATTCATAACAGTAGCAACATTACAGTTATGAAGCAGCAACGAAAATAATTTTATGGTTGGGTCACAACATGAGGAACTGTATTTAAAGGGCCAGAAGGATGAGAACCACTGATCTAAGGGAAAGGTCATTTGCATAAGTCAGCCAGTGATTCCTAGGAGCTGTTTCAGGCACTGGAAGGGTCAGCTCAAATAGATTTATTAGGTTATGTAACGTCAGAAAGACTGTGTCTGGCTCCAGCAATTCTTGAGAACTCAGGTTAACTGACAGTGAAGGGAAACATCTGTAGCCTGGAGCAGTGGGCTATGTGGGCCCATGGACCAGCTCAGGTTTCAGAAGACCCAGGAACATCAATTTTTTAAAAATATTTTTTTATTGATTTCAGAGGGGGGGGGGGAGATAGAAACCTCAATGATGAGGATCATTGATCGGCTGCCTCCTGCATGTCCCCTACTGGGGATTGAGCCCACAACCCAGGCATGTGCCCTTGACCAGAATCGAACCCGGGACCCTTCAGTCCGCAGGCTGACACTATCTACTGAGCCAAACCGGCTAGGGCTGAACGGCTCTTTAAAACTATTGGTCATTAGTACCTACCTTAGCTATTTGGCAGTTTGACCCATTCCAGACGTCTCTGTTTTTAAAACTCAAACTAAGAAGATATCTGATGATGGAAAATGTTGGTTTGGTCACAGCTCGTGGCAAAAACTGATCTAAACAAAAGCATTTCATAAAGATTTATGAACTCCTGTAACACACTCATTCCTACTTGACACAAATGACAGCTGCTTTACCGTATAATGCTGTATGGCAAAGCCTCCTCAGATAAAAGATTTGAATATTTCTAATGCACTGGTTCTCACCTGGGGGTGATTTTGCCACCGGGTACATTTGACAGTGTCTGGAGATATTTTTGGTTTTGGGATGGCATGGACATGGAGTGGGTAGAGACCAGTGATGCTGCTAAACCTCCTATGGTGCACAGACAGCCCCCACGACAGAGTTATCCGAGCCAGAATGTCCAGAGTGATGAGGTTGAGACCCTCTGATGGCATGACAAGGAAGAATTTTTTTAGTGGTTCTTGTTTTCCCGGAGAAGTATGGAAATGCTGCTGGTGTATGTTTGCAGTTTTTAAAGGATGAACTATTTAAAGTTATGACTTGGTATGTCGTGGCAGAATGCACGGGAGAACGATCAGCCAGCACTCTGAGGGAGGAAAGTTTAACCTTTATTTCGCAGATCTGATAGCCCAGGAGAATTCCGAATCCAAAGCCTGAATTCTACTCATGGGGAGGCTCTGACCTATATATCCCCTCCTGTGGCGGGCCCCTGAGGGTCCCCGCAGCTCCGCCCAAAGTCAGTCTTGGCGAGGCCTTGGGGGCATGCTCTGCAGCTCCGCCCAAGTCAGTCAGAGTGGGGAAGTAAGACTGCAGTTTCAACCTGATGCTGAACTAGGTTGCAAGCCCCCCCTAACCCCCCCCCCCAATTTTCCTTTTCAGGTAGAGGCCTATCTAGACCTTTTACCAGTAATGGTTAATCCTTTCAAAGAAATAGCTTTTTTCCTAGGAAATATGGTGCTAATTGCATTTCTCAGCCAACAAAAAAGTAGACATTTGGGGGATAATTTGTGGTTTATTTGGTCAATAATGATTGGGGAGATAGAAACATAACTACCATTTTTCAAGAAACGAAGAAGAAAATAGATTTCAGTTGGGGTGGTAGTGCCCGGTCCATGAGCCTTAAAGGGTGAGCCGTGTGTATCATGACTTCCCACTAGAGTTCTGCCTTACCTGGGACATAGAGATGTTGGCCTTCAAACAGTTACTGTTACTGACGACACTGCGGGTGGCAGGGAGCAGGAAGGAAGTTGTAAACTCCATCATGCAGACTCAGGAGAGCAGCAAGGGTGCATCTCCCAGACTGTCTTTGAAAATCAGCCCTAGCAGGGTAGTCTCACCCTGGAAATCAGTAAACGCCATGAATCAGAGTTTACTTTCCCTCGAGAACCACTGACGAACATGCTGTTAAACATTTACCAACACACCATTGGGTGGAATGGGGACGCACGCCCACACGGTTTCCCACTAGGACAAGCCCTCGCACCAGTATTCACCCTCCAAGTTCTTTCAGGTTATTTTTTCTCCTCTGTTGGTTTCATGTATTTCACAGGTCCTCCCTGACTTTAGCCAACTGTTCTAATGGGTGTAATGTGTATCTTTCTTGGTATGCATTCTTGTAAAATGTGTTTTGCTGTTCTCTACACATTTAAATTTCATAAATGGCATTACTATAAATGGCATTACTATATTTCATTTTGAATCTTTTTTCACTCAGAATGGTTTTAAGATCCACCAATGGCACTCATTATAGGTACATCTAATCTATTGTTTCTCTGCTGCATCCACATTTTGCCTACCTTTTTTTTTTTTTTTTAAGAGGAGGAGGTAAGGAGAGAATGAGAGAAACATCCATTTGTTCCACTTATTTATATATTCATTAGTTGCTTCTTGTATGTGCCCTGAACAGAGATCAAACCCGCAACCTTGGCATAGCGGGACGATGCTCTAACCAACTGAGTTACCCGGTACGGCCTTGCCTATCCTCTCTTCCAGACTCCACCAACTCCCCTCACCACAAATAACAGTGCTTGCTTCCTCTCCACAATGGCTGCACCAGGCTGCTCTCCCACCAGCAACACACAGTGCCTGCAGGCCCACAGCCTCACCCAGCCCCTGGCACGATGACCCAGCTTTTGGACTTCTGCCAGTCTAATGTAGTCTAAAGAGGCGTAGTTGTAACATACTTCATAGGTTCTCCTTTCCTATAATGCAAGTGGAGTAGGCAGTTAAACAGCATGAGCAGAGCAGAACCGTGGGCCAGGTGCAGAGGGTCACCAGGGCGGAGAGCCCCAGGTGCCTAGCAACGCACAAAACCACAAGCCCTTGCCTGACCACTCCCTTAAGCATTAACTCCTGGAAGGTGACATCTAGGCTTCAGTTGTTTCAGCTCCAGGCCCAGAGAAGCAGCACCATATCAGGACCTGCTGCATTGACTAATGACCCCCTGGCACCGGTGGAGGCCCCGAGGAGACCCGGGGGAAACATGCTCTATTGAGATCTTCCCCTGAGACCTTCAGATAAAAGCTCTAAGGAGCATCCAGCCCCCTTCCCCACCCCCTCTTTCCCCAGGGCATGCTCTCTTTCCTGGAGTATGCCCTTGCGCCTCTCCTCCCTTTCTCCTCCCTTTCTCCTCAAGATGCATATCTCTCAACCTCTTGCTTCTAAGCTCCAAGGGAGGGCCCTTTTACTACTTCTGTCACTTTCTAAATTTTCCTTTAAGTTCCTTGGCTCTGAATTCTTTCAAGCCAAACTCAAGGAGGGAGGTTGCTGAACCGTCCAGCCTAACGCATGGCTAACGCCAGGTGCCCTTTTCCCACCGCCAACACAAGCTCCCACAGCCTGCCCATCTATAGCTCGGACTTTCACAGAGGGCTCTGAGACCGCCTCTCCTGCTGCTCTCAAACCCATGCTTGCCGGCTCTTTTATATTTTTTGTTCATTGTTATTGGTTAACAGACCAGGTATATTAAAATGAGGATGGTGGAAATCTACAATTCTGTCTCATCGTTGATGTTTCTCTCTCTCTCCCTCTCCCTTCCTCTCTGAAATCAATAAAAATAATATATATATTTGAAAAATAAAGTGGGCAATTTCTATTTAGAGGTCTGGACTGGTTATATCTGTTTTCTGGAGCCCCACTCAGGGGTTAGGTACTATTAGATATTTCCCCACAGAATATGTGAGAATTTTCTTTAGGGTGGTGGGGGAAATCCCTTAACTCTTGATTCCGAGACAAAGGTGAGGCTGAAATGATAGGAGCCAGCTCTGGATCTCAGCAACACCATTGCTCTTAATAACCTGAAGAGAAGGCACCCATCCCCATGGGCCTAACATATGCTGGAGTGTATGCCTCATCGTGCCTGGAACTGTGCCTGTGCGGAGATTTCAGCTCATCCAATCCAAGGAGACTTGGCTTTAATACCTTGTGTCAGAAACGGAGCCCCAGGAAGATCAGGGCATTGCATTCTGCAGCACTGTGTTCCGGCCTGTGAGCAATAGGAGAGTCAGGGAACCGGAGACCCACAGGTGCACCTCAGACCAGAGCCTCGCCTGCTCCACCTGGGAGGGCTCGGCTGTCTGCACTGAAGGCAGGAGCCAAGGCCTCGGGCTGCCAATGCCCACATGCATCTGGAAAACCAGTTCCAGGCCGGAGACGTCAGGTTTTGTGCTGTTTACCACCAGAACCTTCTCTCCAAGCTAAACAGGCTTCACTACCAACGAGGGAGGCTGGGACTTGTTAGAATCATGGAACAGTGCCCAGAAGGTAGCAGGTGTTTCAAATGCTTTTGCCGAAGGAACTTCCTTTGAGGCAGAGGAGATTCCTCCTGCATTCCTTGTTGTGTTTCCTGTGGCATTAAAAGTTTTCATGAGTCAAATTCTCTCTACTTGGATGGATCCGGAAAGCTCAGAGACTGTAGACAGTTAGCAAAAGTTAAACGTCGGGGACTACTTAGGTAGAGAGACGGAGACATTTACTCCACACAGCTTTGCAAATGGCAGCACAGAAATCAAGAGCACACAATTTGGAGTCAGCCTCGCCATCTCCACTACCTGTATGACCTTGACCAAGTTACTTAACCTCTGGAAGCACCCCCTTTTGTAAAATGGGGGATAAAAATATCTTGCCCACAGGGTTTCTGTGAGGATTAAATAAAATAATGCTTGTGAGGTCCCTAGCACATTCCTGACCCTTTACAGGAGCTCAGAAAACAGGAGTGCTTACGAAAAACAGACCTGCTAGCCCTTCTGAACACACAGCTGTCACACGGGGGAGCCTCTGGAAGGAGGGGCTGTGGCATTATATGCTCTCAATCCCTGTGAAGGACACAGCTCACCATCGGGACCATCAGGACTATAAACTCTATTTAGAAGAACAAATGAATTCTTACTCCTTCAAATAAAATCAACGGACATGCTCCGCCACGCAGAAATGTTCTGGCAAAAGGCATCACATTCGGCAGCGCCCCTAAGCCCTGATGCTGAAGCAAGGCAAACCGCCTCTTCCTACTGACCTAAAAGCTAAGATTTAGTTTACCACTAGTGGAGGAGTCGTCAGTTTTATTTGAACACAACAGGAAACCACTTGTTTCAGCTCAGATCTCTTTCTAATGGTCAGGAAAGTGCTAAGCCTTCAGTTCCTGTATATACACAGATAATCACGGCGAATTTTGTGAAGTTACTGTAGTGCAGTAGGTCTCAGAGTGCAGCCCCCAGCACCGGCATCTCCCAAACCGACTGAATCAGAACCTCTGAGGGGCGGGGCCCAGCAAGCTGGTCTAACATGTCCTCTGGCGGTTCTGCCCCTTGTGGGTGCTGATGGAGTCCCACCCAGACCCCCTTTGTCACTGCCTCCATTCTGTAGCTGCAAGGGCCAGTTACCCTCTTCCCATGGGCAAGACCTCAGACCCATCATTAACCAGCCCCATGGCTTCAACTGGGACTAGTTCTGCCGAACAATTCATATCCTAGGGTTTCTCAGTGGATGGGGAGGGAGCTAGACTGCAGTGGCTTTTCCCTGGGCGCATCTGCTTTTCCCATGCTCCTCCTGACAGCACACCCTCCATCAATTGCACAAGAACCCCCGTCTCAGATTCTGCTCTTAAGGAATGCAATCCACAGCAGTTAATTTCACAATCTCAAAAAATGCACTACTACCAGAACATGTCTGTCCACAATTCCCAGTTATTTTACTCAAGGCAATTCTCAAACCAGCACACCTATACCTAAGCCCCCTAGAGCAGTGGTTCTCAACTTTGGCTGCACATTAGAATCACCTGGGAATCTTTTTAAAATCCTGATTTCTGGGCCTTATCCTCCGGAAATTCTGTTTCTTTGTTACTAATGTCGTGGCCCCACCCCATAACAAAGAAACAGAATTTCCCACCACAGGCCAGGGGGTTCCAGATTGACCTGGAAGCTCCCTTAGAGTCCACTGCTTCTCCATCCCAGTGACAGTGGAAACGAATGTGGTGTGGCGCCCTTCTCTCTGGGATTCCCTAAGGAAGCTCACATATATGGAAATGCTCTGAATTTTCTCTTTGGTAGAAAACAAAGATCCTTACAGCCAGAAGGGGTTTCAGAATTTAGCTTTCCGTCTAGTCCTGCTTAAACTTGCTCATGTATTTCGCCTCTGGGGCTCCAGCCCTTGACCAGTCCCAACCTGCACGCAGCTCAGCGGACAGGTGTCAGGCTCCCAGCAGCACTCACTCACTGGGGAAAAGTGTCCCCGTCACAAGCCACAGCTCACTTCACCTATTGTGGCCCTTGGGCCAGAAAAAGTTCCTCTGACAGCTTGAGACATTACTTTTACTATGAAATATTAAAGTTGGTGATTTGTAATTAGCCAAAGGGTGAGAAAAAACAGGCATCCTTTTGTTATCAGTTAATAACACCTTAGCTCTGAGGAACTAAATCCCATTTAATCCAAAGGGAAAAGCAGCTCTGCTGGCGGGGCCTCAGGTGGGGAACGCTGGGCGCCCAGGATCCAGGTAAGATAAAGTGAATGCGCCTCCAACATGTGGCCAGGAAGCGGTTTGTGTAGAAATGGGCTAGGATTTATTAGGTGACTTTGTTGGGGTCCAACCCCAGCAGGTCCAGGGGTTCCCCAAGGTGTGGACAGAGTCAGCGATGAAGGAATGACATGGAGACAGCGTTCAGTTGATCAGCAGCCTAGCCAGGATCTCCAGCCAAGTTCTCCAGCCAAGTTCTGGTGTTTATTGTCTTGTTACATCTGTATTTATACCAGTTGATTTTAATCCTGTCAATTTCTATTGCAAAGGTTAGGGCGTTTCTTATCTCCATTCCAGGGAGTAAAGATTATGTAGGTTAAGCATGATTGTTTGTAGTTAAAGTGATTAACTACCCGCCTGGCACTTAGTTAAGGGGTTTTATCCCCTCCCTAACTTCAGGGAAAAATCCCTAGCTGGGGAAACAACCTTTCTCGGAGAGGTGACCTTGGTTAAAACACATAGTGCTAAGGGGAGCAAACATATTAAGAACAGTATGCTATATAAGCCAGGTCCCTTGAAACATATGCTGTGCAGATGTTTCCTGCAGCGACTGTGTCAAGCAGCAAGGATGGACCGGCTTCCGGCAAATTTTTTCTTTTTCTAGTTCGAAACATTTTATTTAAATGTGCCAAATAAAAACTCACATTTGCAAACCATAAGATGTTAATACATTCAACAAAAATTTATATTATCTTACTGCTGTGAATTTACAGAGTAATAATCCAGATCCATTTTGATTAGATGGTTGAACAGAGATCAAACCCTGAACCTTCCTAGGTTACTTTTTACAAACATCACAAATCCCTTATAATAATGTAAACAAAATAACTTTTCCCTAAAAGGTGAACTTGAGAACGTCAGTCCACTCTTTCAGGACTTGCACTTCTTCTTGGACTTCCTGATGGGGAACGACTTCTTTTTGGAGATGGAGATCTGGACTTTGATCGGCTGCTTCTTGGTCGTGAAATAGACCTGGATCTTGATCGTGATCTCGATCCTTTTATAGAACCAGATCTAGATCGTCTGAGTGAAGCGGATGGTGATCTACGAAGAGATACAGATCTTGATCGTCGAGGAGATGCTGATCTCGACCTCCTTCCCCTGCTCCTGCTCCGTGAGCGAGAATATCGTCTACCTCTGGATCTCGAATATGATCTAGACCGTGACCTGCTTCTTCTTCGTCGGCTATAGCGATGACAATCATAAACATAATGTCCCTTTTCACCACACTCATAGCATCTATCACTTGGATCAAAGGGATGTCGGGCAGGTGGTCTATCCAAACGAGATCTCCGAGGCATGCATCTTCTTTTTTTTTTTTTGTGACAAAGGATTTTTACTGAAAAGTCACACAAAAGTGGACACCTAGTAATGCTGTAAATAATTCTATACAATTACACTCTTTGTGTATCTTATTAAGATCTTTATACTTTGCCAATATAAGCAGGCATCCAGCAAACATATCCAGAATAAAAAACATTTTATGGACATAACACTTCATCGTAACTGGTAAGACAGCTGACCTCCAAGTCTTCCAGCAGAATGTACTCCTTTCTCAGGCATATGAATTAAGCACAGGGAAGCTGTACGCAACTCCCTGCCTGTCCAGGACCAGGAGGGTGCTCGACCGGCTCCCCATGTGCTTCTGTATGGCCCCTACCAAGATTTGCCTCAGAAATGCGGGGATGTGGGGGGACAGTGGGAAAGAATATACAGGATCCCCAACAGACTCTGCTTCCCAAAGGCCACTTGTGGGGGACACGGGGCAGAACAGGTGCGCCCACACCGGCCGCAGAGAAGGGTTTCACTGACACCACGAAGCTCAGAGAAAGACCACACCAGCTTTACACCCCCTTTATTTAGGGTTCCCACTCTTCAGGTTCACAGGACTATCTACAGAAACACTAGGTCCATGTGCAGCCAACATGATCAGAGACAATTCACCCCCTCCCTGCGCTGCTTCCTGCAGGCCCAAGGGACCATGATAGTCTTTGTCTCACAACAAAAACTCTGTACATGCAAATAAAAACAAAACAAAATAAAAACAAAACAAAGAAAAACAATTAATGACTATCTACAAGGCTAGCTCTTTGTAGAGGCTGCAGGTTCTGGAGACTGAAGAAATTCGTACGGGTCATGGGTCACCTCTGGCTGCTTATCGACACTGAGGTGAGAAGGGCTTCCCAGGTGGTGCTGATCCCTGTCGGAGGTGTTAGACAGGGAGCTGAGGTTGGACGATGGCCGGGAGCCCCCATGCTCTGCTTGTGCCTCATGCAGATCCTGTAGGAGCTTTGTCGTCTCATCCAAGTTCAAATGGCTGTCATCATGGTCCAGCTCCTTCTTCACTTTCCCCAGAGAGCTGAGCATGGAGATGTCCAAAGAGACGTCAGAATACGACTTCATTGACATGAAATCCAGCACAGAGCCACCATCTCCTAGGGAGTCCCCAGTCTTTACTTCATCTGATGGCTTCATCGCGACATTTCTCCTCTGCCTCAGCTGGAAGAGCATGCGGGAGTGGTCTCCGCCTGTGATCTGGTCCAGAAGGTCGTCCACCATTCTCTTGCTGTAGCTCCCAGCATCCTTCACAAACTCCTGCAGGCTCAGCGCATACTGCACACCTGTCTCATCTCCATAGGCAGAATACAGAAGCTCCGTTTCGTCTGATTTCAAGTCTCCAAATACAGAATTATTATGCATTGAAAGTGCAGTACTGGCACTTGAGAGAAATGTGACTTTGCTTCTTCTCTCATCTTTGAAGCCCAGAGTGGTGAAGCTGAAGCCGGGGAGCGGCTTGCTGGAGAGGGAGCTCAGGTCCACCGGGTGGGTCTCCTCCTCGTCGGCATCAGGCTCAGCTGTGTTGACCACGCTGTAGAGCAGGCTCCCATCTCCGCTCTTCTTCAGGTAGCCCATCTTGCTACCTGGAAGGAGTCGGTTGATCCTGTCCCGAGCCTCGTCTGCTGTGTGCTCCACCGAGGCCAGCACATGTTCTTCTGCTGTGCTGTCAGTCAAGCTGCAAGCATTTCCTTCTGGCTCAAACATGCAGCTGATGACTTCTCTACTCGGCCTTTTGGATTTCTTAGCAGTTTCTACTTGTACAGGTACAACTTTGGGAACTGGTTCCTCAACAGCTGTGTCTTCGTTGCCCAGAAGAGCTGCCTGCTGAGAAAAATCCATGTCCTGCATAAACGACATGCTGCACTTCAAAGCTAACAGCCGCTCTTTGCTCATCATCTTAAAGCCTGCGTGAAGGATCTTCTTAGCTAACTTGTAGTACACAGTGTCTGGTCTGTTGTATGTCATTGCATTATCACACATCAGTTTGAAATCTGCCTTAAATTCCGTGACTGATTTGTATTCATTAGCCATGATTTTGTCTTTCATTGTGCCAAAATCCATTGGATGTTTTATTATCATTGAGTATCCAGGAGCAATTGCATCCGTGACAGGAAAAGCAAAAAACCCACGAGGATCTTTTCTCTGGAGCTGGCGGAGGAAATGTTCTAGTAGTTGCTGAATAGGCGTGCTCTCATTTTCAGCTGGCTGTGTCCGGCACGCTCGGACTGGCAGATCGGGAGGTGGCTCCACCTCTACCTTCTTCCCAGGATCAAAGTCATCAGCCTCTCCCTCCGTGTCACAGTGTTCCTTTTCCCGTTTCCGCTTCTTCTCTTCCTTCCGTTTCCTTCTTTCGTCATCGTCCAGGTATTTCTCCTTCTCTGACTTTTTCTTCTTTTTCTTCTTTTTTTTGTGCCTCTCTCGCTCATGGTCTGACCTGTCATCGTAGTAACTGGAATCATGGCCAGATCCCAAGAGTTCAGTCACTTCACTTCCTCTAAACTTGAGAACCAGCTTCAGGGGCTTCTCCAAGGGTTTGTCTGCATACTCCTCGTACGAGGAGCGCCACTCGGTCTTGTGCTTCTTGCCCATGGCGGCGGCGGGGCTGGGGCATGGGGCCGAGGGCAGCAGCAAGCGCGGCCCTGGCTCTGTGCCTGAGAGGCAGACCTCTTGATAGTTCAACCCTCACTCGGGAACCACAAATCACCTTGCCATCCAGGCCTTGAACTGCATCTTCTGCATCTCTAGGGTCTTCAAATTCCACAAAGGCAAATCCCGGAGGATTTCTTGCAATCCACACAGTTCTTAAGGGGCCATAGTAACTGAAAGCCCTTTCTAACTCTTCTTTGCCAGCACCAGTTCCCAGGTTACCAACATACACCTTGGTTTCTCCTCTGTAATGCGATATGATGACTGGCCCGAGAGCTCGGCTCGTTCAGCTCCAGGAGCCCAGGATCGCGAGAAGCTGCAAAGACCTCGCACACCAATGGTCCCAGCGTCCAACCCCGTCAGGATCAGGGTTTCCCCAACCGTGCGGACGGAGTCGACAATGAAGGAATGACACGGAGACAGCGTTC